CCCATGGTACCGGTATGGTTCCAAAAGTGTTACCATATGCAGCTAGCATGCCGTTTCAAAGCACTGGGGTCCAGTTACTTACCAAATATAAGCTTAATGAATATTTCATTATTTGAACTGCCTGTCTGTCTTACAGAGATGGATCAGTGACCTTTAAAGCACTGTTACGGTCTCTTTGTAGACTCCCAGATGCTGTTTCTCTGCGATGCTGTAAAACTCGTATATCCAGAGGCGTAGCAAGCTCTTCTGTTGCCCTGGGCAAAGCGGAGGTGCAGGGGGAGGGAGTGCCTAGGGGACAACTGAGGATCTGGGTGGTGTTCAGGACCCAGGAGGTGAAGGTAGGGGTCCTGACAGCTGTGGGACTCCAGCTCCACACAGAAGGAAAGGAGACCAGGGGGTGGAGCCAGAGCAGCTCTAGGGGCCTGAAAGCTATGGGGGAAGGTGCCTGCCCCCCAATGGTGCGGCCAAATGTCATGCTGAGCCAAGAAATAAAACCCACGCTGAGGCAGCAGACGGGGTGCCCCTCTGTCTTCACCCCCTGCTTCTTTTCCCCCACAACTCTTATCTTCCAGGAACAGAGAGCCTCCTTGCATCACTGACTCATTCTCAACCTCTCTCCCAACAGCCCCATCCTATAGCTGCCAGACTAGCAGCATGGCTGCTTCAATCCCAGTGGCCCTCAACCTCAGTTCCAGCGCCTCCCACCCTTAATAATTAGCACCTGGGGCTTGTGCCCCCTCATTCACCTACTTCACATAAGGCTTCCCCGCCTCAGCCCACTCTGAGGCACTAAAAGCCCAGCCGGGAATATATTCTTTCATGCTTGTTTCACAGTCGGGTCTCGGTTAGGAGCCTCCCCTCTGCTGCCTCTCTGGCAGTGCCCGACCAGGAGAGGATTAGCAACACTAAGAAGAATTTGATAACCAAGGAAGGCCCTGGGAGCAGACAGGCATCCAGTTCCCACGGTCTTTCAATGAAGGAGGGCAGGGGGACTAAATCCCGTTTATCCCATGCAAAACCCACCCATGAAGAAGTCGTGTGATTACAACCAGGCTAGTGTGCAAACATAGGCAGCCTCCCAACAACTTTCCAAGGAGCTTTCTTTCACTGGCGTTGTCGCCCTGCTTCGTCCTGCTCTGGAGAATGAGGCTGTTGCATGTTACTTTTAAACGAGCCTCATCTACCCCACGGTTTACCTGGTTCAGATTGTCCTTCCTGACTGCATGGAGTTAAACCTAAGCACAACCAGGAAACAAAACAATGACATGCATAAGGGTCCTTAAAGACACCTGCCTCTACTTGGCTCCAGCTGAACTCATGGATTTACTCATCCGGGTCTGAGGCTAGGATCAAGTGGGGCATGGAGCCATGAAAAGATGCTGGGCTTAGTAAGGAGGAAGGGTGAAATAGGCTCTGAGAGCCTGCCCCTGGGGAAGACGGCCATGCACACACACACGGAGGCAAAAGATCCCTGGGACAGGGATGTCTGGGCTGGGTGGATCTCAGCCAAAACTTCCAAATTAAAAGCAAGGTGTGATCACACTGGCCATTTATCGCTTTAGCCTCGTCTCTGCCTGCTCTTCACCTTTGGGGGAATAAACAGTGCTTTACTTTGGAGAAACTGCTTCTGAGTCACTTCAGTCAGCTGCTGTCACAGACTCCCAGAGGAAAAGAGGTTACAGGTGCCAAACACAACCAGGATTTCAGATTAACACGGTTGGGAGCAGGGGAGAGGAAGTGAAGTGAGGTGAAGCAAGGCTGGTCCCCTGAGGGGTGCACTTGCAAGAGCCAAAAAGGGGTCCAAAAAAGGAGGGGCGATACCTGCTTTTCTGGGGGTCAATACCTTCACTCACTGTGTCATCTTGGCTGTGGAACGGGGTGGGCCACCTGGGCCATGGCCCAACCAACTTTCAGCACGTTCATTTAGCCCGCTATGCAGTTAAAAAAATAGCTATACAGTTTTCACCAGAATGACAATTGCGCATTTGTGGGTTATAGGAATTAACTTGCCTAAAAGCTGGTCGGGCCGTGGCCCGGGTGGCCCACCCCGGTCTGCAGCCTATGTTTGTGAATGTAAGCTCTTCTCGTCTCTGTGCATCTCCATAAAACCCCAAGCACGCCCCAGGGCACTATATCCAGAACTGTATGAAATGACTGAAGGGCTTGAGCTTCATACAGCGCAGCAGAAAAGTGCTCACCTCTGAGCCAGCTGCAAACCCTGAGCAAGTGGGGAATGCAATCAGTCCAGCTTGTCCTGTTATTCCTCAACTGCCGTTTCAGTCGGTGGCAATACCTCATTAGGAGCCCCACTGGCAGGGCCTTCCCAGGACTGGGATTCAGGACCATGGCCCTTCTCACACCTGTGGCTGTGTAGGTCGGCTAAGTCTCCCAGGGCAGTGGGAGCTACGCCGTCTTGTGCCTGCAGGCTGTCTGCACCAAGTGGCTTGCAGCCCATTGGAGAGTGAATTGAGTCAAAACCACTGCTCAGGACTCCAGGAGCATTCCCGGTGCGCTCAGCGTGACCGCGACAGGTCTGGCAGAAACAGCGGGTCTAACTGCACAAGGGCCTGAGCACCTTGGACTCCTCTGGCATTCAAAGGATGCTGGGGGAGGGCCTAGGCATCAGGGAGGACTATGCCGGCATCATTTCTCATGCTGCAAAGAGGTATCATCCAGATTTTCACTGATCATTTTTATCAGTCGGACAACTGGTTAGGGCTGACTTTATCTCCACCCTCCTCTTCCTCCCCCACCCCAGAATAATTTGTTCCTGTGCTCTGAAAACGCAGATGCCATTATAAAAATTTAAGCAGAGAGTTTTGCACCGTAAATCTAAAAAGCAAGAACTTCTGCTTTTAGAAAATAAGCATTTATCTGACAAGGGTCTTATAATAAGTTGGTGGGACACAAAAAGGTGAGAAAAAATTTAGAGCAGCAAACTCTTAGAAAGTGATTAGCAGTATGTTTGGATAGTAAAAGCAGCAAACCCTTAGAAAGTATGTTTGGATAGGAAAGCAGCCAGCTACTTTACCTTTAATGCGAATGTATTCAATACGCTCATTTTTCTATAGACATGTATAAAAAATTAAAAACCGTTGAAAAGTAATGTACAAAACCAAACGCCACAGCGAGAAATTTGGAGAAACAAATAAAGATGCCATCATAAACTATAAAAGCTTTTCAGAAGCAGGAGAGGGAGGAAGGCAATTTGAAAAAATACGACCGCAACATGAAAGTGAAAGAGGAGGAGGGGATGGCAGGTGGGAAACGAAGGGAGAATGAAAACCACCACTTAAAAAATAAATTCATAACATCACCACAGCAGGAAGCAGAAGGAAATATTTAAACCAGCAATCTTGAAAACACAACCCAGATTGCACAGTGAGTGACACCCTCTGTCTGTGCCAGGCAAACAGATCCATTCTGCGAGCTTCCTTCCACTCCTGCCCCCGTTCCCATCCCATTGTTTGCATGAAGTTGTGTCTCGGTAACGCAGCCGCTCAGAACGGGCTGTCTTCATCAAACTTTAAACAAGCCGAGAAACGTGTGCAGGCACAGCATGTTTTATAAGGCCAGCAGGAGCCGAGGAGGGGTCCGTTTCAGTAAATCGACAGCACTGTGGAAACGTTTGGAGGGAATAATAACCATTGGTAATAATAAATGTGGCCCTGACAGTCCTCTCCAGTGCGAGAACCTGAAGGAGGCCGCCAGGGAGGGAGGAAAGCTCCATAAGCTCCAGTCTCATCCACTTTGCCACTTGCCAGAGAGGGAAGTGTGGAGGAGACCCCCAAGAGCCACACACTGACAGCCGTGCCTGAGCCAGTGTTGGTTGAGTCCCCTGGGGCCGGTGTATCTCAGGGACTTCACATGACAATCATTATCACAGCCACCGCGCCTCGCTCCACATCCCCAGGAGGTAAGACGGTGCTACTGCCTGCGTTTGATTAGATGAGGAGCAGACACACAAAGACTACGCAGGGGGTTGTGGCAGGGAAGGGGCTAATGTCCAGGTCTCCTGAATCCCAGGGCAAAGTGGACCATGCTTCCTCTTAAAAAGGAAAAGAGCCAGAGGGATTTCATGCCACTCTAGGATATTTCAGGTCTTTTTTAGGTTTCCTTGAGGAAATACAGCAGAAGCAGTAGAGGATGGGACTCCAGCGGAAACCACTCAGCTGCCTGGGCCCCTCCACAACTGCAGGTTATTTGGGGAGAGCTCAGGGTTGCAGGGGAAGGCACTTCAGGTACTCAGCTTCATGCTACCACCGTTTCCTGGGAAGGTCAACCAAATGCAGTTACATCTAAAACAAAAGCCTGGTCCTTGAGAGTCATCAGTATAATTCTTCTGTCCCCGAGGACAATGTTTTACCTCATTATCCTCAAAACCAGTTATTATTTATAATGTTTATCTCAAAACAGGGCTAGGCAGACACTTAACTTCCCAATGCACCATATTTCATTGTATAATTCAGTAATGGTGAAGACAAGCTGACTCTAATAAATATGTATATAACCAGCAGGGGTGCCTGAGTTACCCAGTAAAGGGACTGTATAATTTTTTTTTGTACGTACTGTACAGTGACATGATTAGCATTCAGCGCCAAGAGAAATTCTGATTTTCTGATGAGTTTTACTTTTCACTAGCGTTGGCTGCGTACCCCTTACTAAAATGCATCTCTTTCCTGAAGTAACATGTCACACAGCTTTAATCCTTCAAGATTTATCTTTGGTCAAGTCCACAGCCAAAAAAACCCCTCCAGGGCTGCATCCTTCTAAGACAGGTGGAGCAAATTAGACACTTTTCATTCTAAACAATCAGATATGGGGATCAGATTCGGAAATTGCATGCATTTCATCCACAGCCTGGATCCTCTTGTTCTTTTCACTGCTACCATCTCATCTCCTATTCGTCTTCACATTTAAAATTGCATGGGGCCAGCTTCTATTTTAAAGAGGTATTTATGGGAATGGAAAAGAGAGTGGTTTCTAAGACTATTTTTTACCTGAGCTCTGATTGCAGCGTCCTTCTTAATCCACTTTATCACTGTTTCATACACCAGCTCCTCTGCTTTGGTGTTCAAGCTGTCATTGGACATGTAGGAAATGAAGTCGTCTTTGGAGATATTAAGGATCTCCTCTTGGTTTGCCACCTCTGGGAAAATTTGCAGGGCGTATGCTTTGGCCATGTTGTATAGTTCAGTGCACTGCATGGCTTCGGCCATGGCTAATATTCCTAGGCAGTTGCTAGCCGTCAATTGTTTTTCTAAATGAAGCAAATAAAGGCAGCACATGAATAAAAACAACATGTGGTTATTTTATTAAAGAACAGGTGCTGTGGGTTGACGTTGGGTTCACTGTGAATAACTCCTTGGTTAGTCCAATGACTTTTAATTACAATAAAACATGTTGAGCACATGCGGTCTCTTTAGAGCTGAATTTTTAAATCCTTTCCTGGATGGAGGCTACTTCCTTGGCTGGCTTATTTGGTTTGAGCCCTTGTGGGTCCAGAGGGGAAAGCTGCTGCATGACCTCAAATCCCAGAACCACCCATTCGGTAGGAATCGGGGGGCAAATCGGCACTGCTACTTCTGCTGCCTACAATGTTCCTTTAAGAAACAGCACAGAAGTACAGACCAGTGCAGATGCTTTAAGAATAAATAACTTTGAGGACTTTTCTGAGGATGCTACAGTCACTTTATGATAATTTTTGCCCTGCTCAGCTACTAAGCTACTTCAAATAAAAAAATCTCCCTCTCTCTCTCTCTTTTTTTTTCCAAAGGAACTTTGTTGCTGCTGAATGTGATGACATCCCTTATGCAAAACACAGATTATACTAATGGTTTCTGTTAAATGTTGTGTAGTGGTGTTTCAAAGCAAATCAGGCACAGAGGAGACAGCATTATCTCCTACCCAGCAAACAGAAGTAACAGCCCTGTGTGTAGCATTATGTTAAGAGTGAGTTATACTGTACACTTTGTTGTCCTTTCTGCTTTTCAGATGCTCTGAAGAAAAAAAAATACAAATAGCAAAGTCATGCAAGGGGAGCTCATAGATATGGGGCTCAGCCTTCTGGTAGGTGAGACACTACTAATAACAGAGTATATTTAATTTAAAAGCAGGGCTGGAGATTTTAAAATAAAAGAGAGAACAAGGATGTGCTAGACACCCAATCAACCCAGCAACAGAGCTGTCACAAGAACGATCAGCTGGTAATATGGGCAGGTGAGGTTCTTTGGGTAGATGGGATATCTTTTATTAGAACAACTAAATAGTTGGAAAAACTGTTCTTTGCAAGCTTTCAGGCACCAACACCCTTCTTCAGGTATAGAGAGCTGGTAACATGGGCACTAATGTGTGCAAGGCAGGCTTGCCTGCTGTTAAAAGGAAAATGTATTACATTTGGGCAGCATCATAGTCTATGGGGCTACCTCACGGAACTGGGCATAAAGGTGAAGCTTTTCAAGAACTCCGCCATTAAAACTCCTGCCAGACGCCTCTTCTGCCAGTGTTCAACGCAACTGCCTCCATCTGGTTTAAATCCCCAAGTACACTATCTACAGTCTAATTTATTAATATGTGATTAGGCCTATATTTTTACTTGGTAGTACATGCACCAGTCTAGAAAACAGGCTGTCAGATTTTATCAGCTGATCCTATGGTTCCCAAATCACCCTCCACCACATCTCTTCAAGCGAGACCTACTGCAGCTGTGATGCTTCATTTTGGTTCAAGACAACATTTTTATATGCTCAGACTCCTTGTTCCAGTGTTTTCTTCTCAGAGATGTCCATTGCTCCTCTTTCCCAAGAAACGTCTCTTTGCCATGCCATAATGATCTGATCTACTTCAACACCCTCTTCAAAGTGAATAGAAGTCCACTGAGAAGGCTTGGGAAGGTGTTGTGGGCTCTATCACTTCTAATATGATTGTTGAAGTGGAATGAATGATTTACTACCTTTGGGAGAATGGGGATGGGCTACAGAAAGATAAATTGAGCACTGTTAATTGATAATCTCAGAACTGCTATCTGAAAAGATAAATCCTCTGTTTGCATCAAAAAGGACATTGGGGTAAAGGTGCAAGTTAGGAAGATCAACCACCTGAAGTTTGTGGATGATATTGATGTGCTGGACACAGAGAATATGGGCTGGCAGGGCCAGGTAGATGTTTCCATGTGTCAGTCTACTTGAAGGCATCATAGGTATTGGTGTAAGGTCCTTTCACTTGTACTGAATATGCTCTTTAAATTTAGGGAGGCATCTTTTAGCATGCCCTAGAAGTCAGGCCAGTTTTTCCTGCCCAAGTGCAAGGGGGCTGGAGCTGACGATCTGTAAGGTCCCTTCCAGCCCCTAATGGGTATGAAACTATGAAATCAGCTCAAGCAAATACACCTCCCTGTTGCAGTCTGTGAATCATTTAGTTAATGGGATTCTATCCTTGTTCATCTACAAGCATTGAAAAAGTCAGGTCATATCTGTAAGACTTAAGACCTCCAAAGTATTCCAGTGACATTCAGTGGGCTTTGCTCTCCTGCTGACCCCCACATTTGTTCCCTTGGTTATACAAAACTAATCCAAAACACCTTTTTGAGATCTTTGCAGTCTGAATGAAGGGTTGGGAGCACAGATGTCCATACTCCATGCTATAAAGGAAAATTAAGATGTTTTGGATGGGAGTTATGAGAAGCTGGCACTGGAGAGGCCAAAGGGAAAAGAACAGAAATAGCAGCATGTGACTACTGGCAGAAGAAGAAGGGTCCCAAGAAATCAAGAATAACACACTGAAGTCAGTAAGAGCGTAAAGTACTCTGTTGTGGTACAGCTGGGGAAAAGGCAGAGGTGAGGACATCAGCAGGCAAGAACTGGAGAACCCAGTAGTCTGGAAAGCAGGAAGTGCAGGGCCTCAGGGACAGTGGTTTTAAGACCAGGGAAGAACTGGTGGAGGATAAGAAGGCGATTGGAAACTTGGGAGGAAATGATTACAATATGATACAATTCTGATCCTGAGATGGGGAA